GTTTGGGGACATGAAATCACCAAATAAGCTTATTTATTTTAATGCCAAAGCCCAAACCTAAAGGGTTTGTTACTGTTGTTAACTTCTCAGCGGTAGAAAGGGAATTTCAGAGGTAGAAAAACACAGAATTAGAGTCTCTAGGTTAAATGAGTTGATGGTTTCAAGTATGTCTTTTTCAGTTGGTTTATTTGATTCAGGGTCCATATAAGATATGCATTATTACATTTCTTAAACCTTGGGTTTTTTTTTTTTTTAAGATTTGTTTTATTTATTTATTTATTTATTTATTTACACAAGCACTGAGTATAGTCAGAAGCGCGGGAGGGTGAGAGAATTCACCAGAGCCAGAGCAGGGAGCAGAACAGGCAGAAGGACTGAAATACACTGCTGCGGGAAGCAGCGGGCGGCAGGAGAGGTCTGCGCGTCATGTGGGACCCTCCTCCGGTGGCCGGGAGCACCTGGGGATCCAACTGGTGCTGCAGAGGCTGTGGACAGCTTTGCAACCCAGCGCTCAACTGTTGCGCCACCAGGGAGGCCCTTAAGCCTTGGTTTTTTTAAAATGAGTTTTATTTGATACAATTCACCTACTATAAGGGTCCCCGCTTTTTAAAATGAACAGTTAAGTAATTTTTAGTATATTCACAAAATTGTGTCTCCATCCCCACTATCAAAATCCCAGAATATTTTTACCCTAAAAAGAAACCCTAAACCAGGACCTCTCCTGTTTGCCTGTGATTATGCAGGTGTTTCTTTTCACAAACCTTTTTTTCCTTTGCAAAACAGGAGCAGCAGCTCTACTGCCCACCTGTGACTATGCAGGTGCCTCTCTTTTTTCTTTCTCCTTTGCCTAATTAACCTGTCCTTTTAAAATGTAAAAAAAGAAAGAAATCTTATACCTATTAGTAGGTGTCCCCTACTCCCCCTTCCCCTCAGCATCCTACAACTACTAATCTACTTTCTGTCAATACAAATTTGCCTATTCTGGATGTTTTTTATAAACAAAATCATAAAATACGAAGCCCCTTGTGTCTGACTTCGTTCACTCAGCATAATGTTGTCTTCAAGTTTCCCCCTTGTTGGTATTAGCATTTCATTCCTTATTATTGCTGGATAACATTGTTTTGTACAGATACCACATTTTTTGTATCCATTCGTGTATTGATGGGCATTTTGGCTGTTTCCACTTTTTGCTATTAAGAATGACATGCCTATGGACATTCATGCGTGAATTTTGTGTGCTCTTATTTCTGTTGGGTATATACCTAAGAGTGGAATTCCTTGGTCATAGGCAATTGTGTTTAGCCTATCTGGGAACTGTTAGGCTTCAAAAAAAAAAAGATTTATTTATTTATGCACACAAGAGCTGGGGCACAGGCCAGAGATCCTGGGGGTGAGAGGATCCACCAGAAACAGTGGGGAACAGAACAGGCAGACTGAAATACACTGCTGAGAGGAGCAGTGGGTGAGACAGAAGAGGTCTGCCTCGCCATGTGGGTTTCTCCCTGACCGGCCAGGGATTGAACTCGTGCTGTAGAGGCTATGGATTGCTTCATAGTGCGATGCTTAACCCCTTGCGCCACCAGGGAGACGTTAGGCTCTTTTTCAAAGCAGTTGCATTCCCTCTTTTATGTTCTTACCAACAGTGCATGAGGGTTTCAGTTCCTCCACGTTCTCATTAATGCTTGTTATTTTCCTTTTCAATCTTTCGAGTTTTTTTAATCCATCCTGGTGAGTATGAAGTGGTAATCTCACTGTGGCTTGAATTTTTCCTGTACTTAGTGGTCATTTGCGTATCTTCTCTGGAGAAATATGTCTTCATATCCTTTACCTATTCTCTTTTTTTTTTAAAGATTTATTTATACATACAAGATAAAGATATATTTATAAAAGATTAATAAAGATTTATTTATACATACAACTGGGATACAAGACAAAGGTGCGGGGGTTAAGAGATCCACCAGAGACAGAGAGGGGAACAGAACAGGCAGATTGACAGAAATACACTGCTGAGGGGAGCAGCAGGCGAGACAGGAGAGGTCTGCTGTGCCATGTGGGTAACTCCCTGGCTGGGTGGGGAGCGAACTTGTGCTGCAGACTGTGGATAGCTTATGGAAGCACAGTGCTGTGCTTAACCCTTTGTGCCACCAGGGATGCCCCTGCCTGTTCTCTTTTACTCAGTTGTCTATTGTTGTTGAATTATGAATTCTTTATATATTCTGGGTACTAAATTTGATTTGCAAATATTTTCTCCCATTCTGTGGGTTTTCTTTTCACTTTCTTAATGACGTTCTTTGAATTGCTAAAGTTTTTAATTTTTTGTGGTTTTTTTTTCCCCTTTGTTACTTGTGAATTTTGTATCTAAGAAACCATTGCCTAACCCATGTCACAAAGATTGAGACCTATGCTTTCTTCTAAAAGTCTTGTAGTTTTTGCTCTCATGCTTCAGTCTTGGATCCATTTTGATCCATTTTGTTTTGTAATATTCTTTTGCACGTGGATATCCAACTCTGCTGGGAGTGTTTTTGAAATTATTGTTGTTGTTTTTACCAGTTAAACTGTGTTGGCACCCTTGTTGAAAATCAATTGGCCATAAATGTGTATGTTTATTTTTGGACTTTAAAGTTGATTCCATTAATCGGTATGTCTATCTTTATGACAGTATCACACAGCCTTGATTACTGTTGCTTCACAGTAAGTTTTGGAATCAGTGAATTGTGAGCCTTCCAACAATGATTTTTTTTCAAGTTTGTTTTCATTATTCTGCATCTTTTTTTATTTCCACGTGTATTTTAGAATAATTTGCCAATTTCTGTAAAAATAAATGCCAGTAGTGCCAAAGTTGAGAGTAATATTTCTAAAGGATGAGTGGGTATGTTTGATTTTGATACAGTTCACTTCAAATAGGTTAGAGCACTATACTAATAGAGTGCAAAGTATTAGAAATGTAATTATTTTCTGTAGTTTATGCACTCCCAGAGCTCAGTCAGATGTCTTGAACATTTCTGCTGATTATAAAAGGTACACGTTGGGGCAATAATTGGGACCAGTATATATCCATCACTCCTTGAAATACATCTCAAAGTGTGGTGTTTGTCCATACTCCAATTATCACTAGATTGGAATCACGTAATAAACTTGACTAGCAGCATTATTTGATTTTGTCATTAGCTCCCTGAATTAACAATCTGTTGGCTTGAGGCACAGGGAATCATACCTTATGGACTACCAGTTATTCAACTCCACATTTTCTTGTTACATGTTGGTAGGCATTTAATGGAGAAGCCAGTAGTTCTCCACCAATATTCATGCATACCCTCTTACACCTGCCCTTTTTCCTTCTCCCAGTGATTATGCAAGGTCATGCCAGTAATATTGGAAATTAATGACTGATAAAGTTGTTCGTGGTTGCTTTTCATGGGATAGTTTTTTGTGTATGTCAGTGAACCTTTGTGAGTTTTTTCTAGTCTTGACAAGTTAATCTACCCTGAACAAAGGCTGCAAAACATTAGATCATTTGCAAAAAAAGAATTAATGGCAATATATACCAATTCTGACTTTCACAATAAAGTATTTCTCTAAAAATTTACCTCAGATCATCACAACAAACTAAGATTTGTAGAGTTGAAACTATGTAAATGTACAAGTCCTTAAACTTAATACAGAAGTTTGATTGAAATTCTGGCCTTTTGATTCTGGTCATTTAACTGTGAAAGCCAGATGTAAATGAAGACTGTGTGAGGAAGGTTATTTAGGACAATTTGAATAAAATTATGTTTTGTGTTGCTTATTTGCATTATGGTACTATATTTTCATTAGTACCTTTATAGTTTTATTTGTCCCCCTAAGAAAAAGTAAAATATAGATTTCTCAGCCTTTTTCACTTTTTATGGAAATTTCACATTTGTGTTTGGGAGTGTGCGTGTGTGATAGAGGAAAGAGCATTCATTTTCCTGTCACATTCAAACTCTGCCATTTATGAACTATTTGGCCTTGAACAGCAGGTTAACTTTACCATCCGAAAAGAAGGGACAATATTAAATGAGTCACAAGGATTAAATAAGATAATTATATAAAGGAAAGATCAGCAGGAAGGGTAAATATTATTTGAGGACATTGATTCATTTGTAAGTAGATTATAGGGTTTGGAGTTTGTTGTCTGCTCCTCTGTTCCTGGCCCTGGGAAGCGCTTGACTCTCTGGGCACGTTTTCTTTCCTTGTAAAATGACTCTTGGTAATGGTACCCTTGTGTGTTGTAAGGAGAAATTAAGATCATAGTTTTAAGAAGCAGCACTCAGTTCTTGGTAGAATATACATACTAATAAATGAAGGCCATAAGCGCTTAGATTACTGAGTTCTGTCAGACAAAGTGCACCTAGTCTCTTACAGTTAATCTGTCTGGTTGGTGAGAGTCACACACTCTATGCTAAGTCTCAAAAACTTGGGAACTGATTAAGTTCTATTACTGCCCTACACTAATAGTGATTATTTTTAGTTTATTTAATAATGCTAAACCTAAATAATGATGCCAAATGTCATAAAGGCTAATAATGCAAATAGTATATTTAAGGGAAAGTTTAAGTACTTTACCGCCCAGCCTTTTCTCTTGTTTTCCAGAGCACTTCACACACTGCATAGAAAATGAGGGGCAGGACAGGGGTGGAAGCAGGGAGCTATAAGTGTGGTGGCAGAGGCAGTGGTGAGAATATTAAAAGATTTTGCACTCAAGTCATGAAGTTTGATAAAATAGATCATTTTAATGATTTATGGACAATAGTCCTAAGGGAAACTGGCATCTTTCTGTCTTTTTAGCAGTAGGTACATGTGGAGAATATGACAGCAACTAATGGTAAAGCTTGGTGCCACTGCCTGGGTTCTGCCAGAACACCGGTAGCCTTAGCTTTTGCGCCATGAATGCAGGTGGCAACACAGTGAAACCCTGCTGAATTGGTCATGCACTATTTCCAGTAACCAGGCTTCATCCTCTCACCCTCTGACTCCAGATCCTAACTATCTCATGGCCAACGAACGCATGAACCTGATGAACATGGCCAAACTGAGCATCAAGGGCTTGATTGAATCAGCTCTGAACCTGGGGAGGACTCTGGACTCAGACTACGCACCACTTCAACAGTTCTTCGTGGTGATGGAGCACTGCCTAAAACACGGCTTGAAAGGTAGGCCATGGCCTCAGAATGCAAGGGTGCGTGCAACTAGTTCCTAGCAATAGGTACTGAAAAGGAAAACATTTTTAATACTTATGTATATTTATTACATCATCCTTCATTTTGTGCAATGTATGATTTCCCCATGAAATTCCCATCACCCATTCACCCGTGCACCATCACCATAGTCCCTTGTGCTCTTCCCACCTCTGTCCTGATCCTTCTTCCTCCTCTTCCCCTACAGAATGTCTCTGGTGTATGATTGCCTGTTGATTTTGATTTTTACTTTATTATAGTTATTTTTTTTCCTGGTCCCTTATTTAGTTCCTCTACATTCCTCCTGTAAGTGAAACCATCCAATATTTTTCTTTTTCTTTCTGGCTTATTTCGCTGAGCATAATCTCTTCCAGCTCCACCCATGCTGCTGTGAATGGCATGAGTTTATAAAAGGAAAACATTTTTGTGGAGCTAAAGATTAAGAGACTTGAGTTAATATTAATCCACTGGGATGCAACATATATGGATGCAAGAATATAGTTGACTTTAAGAACTTGAGGGCTTGGGAAACAAATATCATTACATGCTAAAACTAGAACAGTGATTATAAGTATCTAGTCCAGATCAGCAGTTCTGATTGACAAGTAGAAATAGGTCTAAAATGGGATACCCCTTGCCCGGGGTCACACAGTGTGTGGGGGCTAAGCTAGTGCTAGAACTCAAATTTCCTGGTTCGTGCTTTCCCCCCTTAATCATAAACTTTTTTTTTAAGAAGTCATTTTTTGGGGGACAGGCCAGAGATGCGGGGGGGTGAGAGGATTTACTACAGACAGAGTGGGCAACAGAACAGGCAGACTGATTGAAATTCATTGCTGAGGGGAGCAGCAGGTGAGACAGGAGAGGTCTGCTGCGCCATGTGGGTAGCTCCCTGGCCGGGGATCAAACTCATGCTGCAGAGGCTGTAGATAGCTTCAAAGTGCTGTGCTTAACCCCTGCGCCACCAGGGAGGCCCCAGCTTAATCATAAGCTTTTGAGGGCAGGACCTGGTCTTGATCACCTTTGCTTCCTCTCCTCTTCCCTTCCCAATATATGTAATATGTTTTGGGTTATATTTGTTTCTTATTGAACTGCTTTCTTCGCTAATACCATATAGCTTTAAGTGCTATATTGTTAAAATGTTTTATTATATGATAGAGCTCGTCCATAAATTCTTCTTGAAAAAGGAATCTTGGAAAGTAAGGAGATTTCTTTATTTTCACAAAATGTTCTCTATTCTGAAAGCATGAAAAATTTAAGAAGTAATCATCTAGACTGAAAAAAACCCTAAATAGACGGGAGGGAAGAACACAGATGTGTGTATTTTGATGGTTTGCTTACATTTTGAAGAATATTAAAATGTGGTATTGTTTTTATTGCCTTAGCTAAGAAAACTTTTCTTGGACAAAATAAATCCTTTTGGGGACCTCTAGAACTGGTAGAAAAACTTGTTCCAGAAGCTGCAGAGATAACAGCCAGTGTCAAAGATCTTCCAGGACTTAAGTAAGTTTAAGGGTGAATTCTGTTTGTCAGGTAAAATAGTTTCCTTGAAGAGTGAGCCTAAAAATAATGATGATCATCATAATTTTTGATAAGAATCCAAAATGCATAATTTTGTTATGAATGGGCACTGTTATAAGAGAACTGGTAATGTAGAAGATTAAAAGTACCCATGAGAGAAAAGTATTATTAATCTAGGAGAGATTGTCTTTATTTTAAAATATCAAACATTTCCTTATTTTTTTTTTTAAATACTGTGAGAATCATCTCATGAATCAAGAAATTGAGTCCAGGGAGGTGACTAGAAAAAGAATGTGTTCAGTGGAATTTGAGAGCCAAGATTAAAACAATGTCAAGTGAACTGCAGAAGCTGACAACCCAGAACCTGCCTTCGGACTTGCAAAAGAGTAGTGCTCTTTTACCAAATTAGATTGATTTAAGTTTAATCAGATAGAAGCCTAATAATGTCCACCTTATTAGTACATGGGTATTCACATGACTCACATTAAATTTATGACAATTTACCCAACATTAATCTGATGCAACAGTTCACTTGGGCATCCCAGAGGTCTTGTCTTCAAATTGTGGTCTCATTCAGTAATTAATTTTTGGCAAGAGATTTTGTCCCAAACACACCCTCTGGGTTCCACTAGCCCACACAGAATCCCTCCAATAGTAATGTCTTGGGAGAGGTGGTGAGTAGCATGTTACACTGGAGGACCATTAGCAAGAGTAAGGGAATTTGTCCACTGTGGCCCCCTTCTGTGCTACTTTTAATTGTTTGGTTTCTGTGTCTTTGTAGGACACCAGTAGGCAGAGGAAGAGCCTGGCTTCGTTTGGCATTAATGCAAAAGAAACTTTCAGAATATATGAAAGCTTTGATCAATAAGAAGGAACTTCTCAGGTATGAATTCTTCTTGAATTTTGTTCTTTTTTTGCTATGTTCTACATCATACGAGGTGAGAGCATATAAATTTGCCATTTTTGTAGATCAGAAACAGTTGAATCAGACATTTTCACGTAGTTCAACTGATACCTTCTCCCACATCTCACATACACATACTCAGGAATAATTACTTTTATATTGTGTGTGTTCATTCTGCTACCATGACATCTATTAATATATGGTCCTTTGCTGGGCAGACTAAAATTTAATACTTCCAGAAAATAGGAAAGACTTTTAACATGTTACCATAAAACCAGAAGGCAGAAATTGACATGTAACATTAAATACAGTTCACAGAATATTTCCAGATGGATCATGATGCACATGAGAACAAGAAACAGTGTATCTTTTGGAAGAAAATATAGGTAGGCAAAAACTTCTTAAACAGGGTACAAGAAGTACTATGTATAAAAGGTGTAAATTGGTCTACATTAAAATAAAGAACTGTCACCAAAAAGCCCTGTTAACACTAAGAATTAGGGCCTCCCTGGTGGTGCAAGGGTTTCAGATGCAGACTGTGAAGCTATCTGTAGCCACTGCAGCACGAGTTCGATCCCTGGCCAGGGAGCTACCCATATGGAGCAGCAGACCTCTCCTGTCTCACCCACTGCTCCCCTTAGCAGTGTATTTCAGTCAGCCGGCCTGTTCTGTTCCCCACTCTGTCTCTGGCCTGTACACTAGTTCTGTTATAGGGCAGCCCCGATACAAAACGGGTAGCCTGACTGTGTGTCCTCACCACGCACTTAAAAGGACTTATCAATGCTCTACTGCAGGCACACACGAAAGGTTAATAAAAGGTTTATTTACAAGGGAAGGGCAAATGAGGAAATGTACAGCTCAGGGAGAAAAATGGGAGACAAAGTTTTAAATGCGTCCTACCCTATCCGCCGACCTGGAATCACAAATGGCACTCTGAAAGCTGGCTGCAAGCCAGGAGCCGTGAAGCCAGGAGGCTAGCGACAGAGCGAAGCCCCCAAGGCCCACGTGTTTGGTTTTTATACCCAACCTGGCTGCTTAACTCCACCCTCAGGTCCCAACCACCTTCCCTTTGGTGGTGACAGGATTTGTCTTTCCCAATGTCCTGATGGCTTTGGTCTGGAGTGGGGGTGGAGTCCACAAAGCCTGTATGGGATTAGCGCAGGACATCCTTTCCCCCTAACAGTTCTTGTATGCATAAATAAATAAATCTTAAAAAAAAAAAAAAAACACTAAGAATGAAAGGCATCCCATATGGACTGAAAGGAGATATTTGTCGCATGTAGCACATATATTCTACAAATGATATATATTCAGAGTATTTAAAGAACTCTTCAGGGGCCCCCCTGGTGGCTCAAGGGGTTAAAAGTACCACATTATGAAGCAATCCACAGCCTCGGCAGCATGAGTTCAACCCCTGGCCGGCCAGGGAGCAACCCACATGGCACGGCAGACCTCTTCTGTCTTGCCTGCTGCTCCCCTCAGCAGTGTATTTCAGTCAGTCTGCCTGTTCTCTTCCCACTCTGTCTCTGGTGAATCCTCTCACTGCCCCCACCACCTCCACATCTTTGGCCTGCACCCCAGCTCTTGTGTGCATAAATAAATCTTTAAAAAGAAAATAAAAATATAAAGAACTCTTCAATGCAATAAGAAAAAGGCAGACAAACATTAGATGAATAAGGGACTTGAAAGGCATTTACAAAAGAAACTTAAATGGCCAATAAATATGCAAAAGGTACATATAAAACTTAAGGACCCATCACACCAGTGCAAATTAAGATACCAATGTGATACCTCCACATCACCTTCCTATCACCAAATTGCTTAAAATGGAATAGACAGACAATATCAAGTGGTTGTGAAGCTGTGAAGAAACTTTAATGTACTGCTAATGATTGGTAGAGAAACTGACAATTAAAAGTTGATGAAAAATGTACCTTATGACCCAGTAATTCTACTTGTTTAACGAAAGACATGAACAAGATTGTTGGCAGCTATTATAATGTTTGTTATAGACTCCAGTGTCTATTCACAGTATATAGCTAAGTAAATTTTGATCTATTCATATGGTATGAACTACCATATAGCAACTACACATAACAGTATTGATTAATCTCACAAATATAATGTTGGACAAAAGAAGCCAACATGAAAAAATCATTGCATATTATTCCATTTAACATTCAGAACTATGCAAAATTCATTTTTCATGATAGAAGTCAGGAGGAAGGGCAGGAGGAAGTAAATAGAGAGTAGGACATACAAGGTGACTGTGATGTCTGATACTGTTTCTTAGGCGCTTATTAAATGAGTTAGTTCTCCTTATGAAAATGCATTTTTGTGATTTGTTTACTTTCCTATGCATATTTTATAGATCATTAATATTTGTCAAAAGAAATTCAAATATAACAGCTTGCTTCTAAGAAGAACAACTAAGAGAATTTAAAGTGATGGCAAGATTATGCAAAAAAACCTAGTTTTTACAAGAAATTGCATTGTATATCCTAATACAGAGCATTGTTTTAATGTTGCAGTACCTGTGTGTGCCATTGGTTGCTGTTTTCTGGCCTAAGAAAATTAAACAAATCAGGAGAAAGAAATAGGAACAATTCAGGGGCTCAACTTTCCAAGAATCAAGCCTTTAAGTGGAGTAGGATCTAGTGTTCAAGCTATTAATGAACACAGTCCAGTGTCTTTCTTCAAAATTGTGTGATTAAAATTGGCATCTGAAGAATTAGCTCTGTCTAGCTGAGCACCAGAGTAAATGTGCTTAGTCTTGAACTGGCCAGAATGGTTCCTTTTTTTTCCCTTGCCTGTCCTCCACTGTTAGCCACTTCCCCCAGAACAGTATTTTATATATAGCTTCACTCACTTTGAAATAGGAAGATATTCACAATGTTGTTAAATAAAAAAAATTCATGACAGTTTAATAGTATAACACTTTTTAGTATCCTTCAAAATTATGTGTATATCTCCACAAATGATCTGAATGGTTTATACATCAAGTTCCTAAGAAGTCATCAGTATATAGAATTATAAGGTTCTTGTGTACATTTGCTTCTGTTTTTAATATGAAAACTGACTTTCTTAGACAATAAAAGATGATGATCCCTTAAACATCTTACATCATCATCAACCTACTCTGCATATTGCTTGTTTTTTTGTTTGGTTTGGTTTGGTTTATTTTTATTTATACAAGAGCCAGGGTACAGGCCAGATGTGCAGGAGGGTGAGAGGATTCACCAGAGACAGAGCGGGGAACAGAATAGGCAGACTGATGAAATACACTGATGGGGGGTGCAGCGGGCGAGACAGGAGAGGTCTGCTCGCCATTTGGGTTGCTCCGAGGCCGCCTGGGATCGAACCAGCACTGCAGAGGCTGTGGACAGCTTCACAGCACTGCGCTCAACCGCCTGCGCCACCAGGGAGGCCCTGCATATTGCTTGTTAAGCAACTTTTGCTAAGAAGTCAAAAATGACTATAATGCAACAGGTCACATTTATAAAATATTTATTCACCATGTCAAAGGAATGTAGTACTTAAATAGAATTAAAAATAAATCAGAAAAAGTAAATTTTGATGTATAAAAGATTGCAGAATTATCCCATGGTGCATCATAAATACAAAAATGTAGGAAAAGCATGAATAATCCCTTGAATAAAAATCCCACTGTAATTACTTTTCTTTCAATTGCCTGTTACCTAGTCTATTCATGTGCCTATAATCTAAAATATTTATCCAAGTCATCCTTGTTTTACTTTTCTGCTATTTCGTAGTTGGTTATATCCAACCACGAAACAAGCATTTTTGCCCTTGTCTCATGATACCATCATTGCATTCATGAAATTTTACTAAAATGGAGTATTTTCATGTATTTCTATTACAGTGAATTCTATGAACCCAATGCCCTCATGATGGAAGAAGAAGGAGCTATAATTGCTGGTCTCTTGGTCGGTCTAAATGTCATTGATGCCAATTTCTGTATGAAAGGAGAAGATTTAGACTCTCAGGTACGGGAAGAACACTCAGTTACTAAGTGTGTCACTCTGAATTTTGTTATCTCTAAATTTAGATTGATCAGATTTTACCAATAAAATTAGGAGGAATTCTCTGGGTCATAAATGGGATTTCCTTTAATTACAATACAGTGTGAACATAAAAAATTATTTTCCTTTCAACTTGGATCATTTATGCCTTATGAATGTTTTTCAAATTCTTTTTTTTTTTTTAAGATTTATTTTTATTTATTTATGCATACAAGAACTGGGGTGTAGACCAGAGGTGCAGGAGGGGTAAGAGGAGTCACCAGAGACAGAATGGGGAGCAGAACAGGAGGATCCACTGAAATACACTGCTGAGGGGAGCAGTGGGCGAGACAGGAGAGGTCTACTGCACCATGTGGGTTAGCTCCCCTGGCCGGGGATCGAACTCACGTTGCTGTGGCTGGTGATAGCTTGATAGCGCTGTGTCTTTAGCCCCTGAGCCACCAAGAAGGCCCTGTTTTTCGAATTCTTGACTGAGATCCTATTAAAAATATTTCGTACAGGCAACACATACACACACACGAGCTAAATAGTAAACCCAGTATGGCATGGTAGTTAATGGTGATGTATCTGAAGCCAAACTTTTTAGACTCAATTCTGACTTCTCCATTTTCTAAATGAATGTATTTTATAGTTAGTTTTTTGATATTTCAGATTCCTTTTCTGTAATACAGGTTAATAAAGAGTATCCTTGTCTTTTTCATTTGGTTATTGTGAGGGATAAAGGAGTTCGTACTTGCATTGCACTCTGTACAGGACCTGGCACACATTATTACTCAATAAATAAAGCTGGTACATTCACTATGAATACTTCTCATCCCTTATGTGTGAAATGCAATGAATTTCTGTTTAATTTTACTCTGAGAAGGTAGAAAAGGAAGGTATACTAGTTTGATCTATATTTTCAAAAAGAAATAACCTGAAAATAAAATGGCAAGTAGACCTGTGCATTAATGAAAGTTTGGAAGAGCGATACAGTGGTCATCTTTGGGCGGTTGGGATTATGGTATTTATATTACTTCCTTTTGTTATATCTGTATTTTCTGACGCTTCTATAAATGAAAGTACATTATGTTTTATAATTAGTTTTAAAAGTTATTCCCAAAAGTGACTAGGGGTTCAGTAGCAGAATACCTGAAATAAGCAAAAGAGAAAGAAACTTTAAACCTTAAACATATATGAAGTTGTCTGTTGGCTTTCTTAGTCATGATCTGGTCTTTAGTCCTATTGACTTAGTCTTGATTCCTTGGTTACATAAAACCCTTGTTAGTTCCTAATTATAATAAAAAATAAAGCATTGAATTTTCATCAGAAATGTCTAGTAATTGCCATGACTATATTACTGTTTTGTGTTAGGCATTGTGTTATGCCTTCAGAAATACATCTAATTTTATACTAAATTCTATAAATTCTCTCTATAGGTTGGAGTTATAGATTTTTCAATGTATCTGAAGGATGGGAACAGCAGTAAAGGTAGTGAAGGGTATGTACAAAGAAAATTAGGTGTTTTTGTTAATATTTAAAGTTTTCAGCCACTGCTTTATATATTTGCTGAATTTCTGATGGTATAGCTTTAATAGTGTTTTGTTTTTTTTTTTTAAGATTTTTTATTATTTATTTATTTATTTATTTATATAAGCACTGGGTACAGTCAGAAGCGCGGGAGGGTGAGAGTATTCACCAGAGCCAGAGCAGGGAGCAGAGCAGGCAGAAGGAACGAAGTACACTGCTGAGGGGAGCAGCGGGCAGCAGGAGAGGTCTGCGCGCCATGCGGGACCCTTTTCCGGTGGCCGGGGAGCAGCCGGGGATCGAACCGGTGCTGCAGAGGCTGCGGGCAGCCTGGCAACCCAGTTCTCAACCGCTGCACCACTGGGGAGGCCCGCTTTAATAGTGTTTTGCAAAAACACCTGACTATTGTGGCTGCTATGCCCTAAAAAGGATTATAGTTAGGTAATTTTCCTGTTATGTGGATTGTGGTAAACAAATTAAACATAATTGTAAAAGAAATCTAATGCTCCATCTCTTAAAGTAGTATTTAAAAGCATGGTATTCTTGATCAAAAGGATTGCATTTTCAGTTTGCTCAAAATTTGCAATATTACGTATGCATCATGGGTTATGTAAAATGTTGACACTAGAGGTTGCTGAATCTTCATTCTTCAGGGAGAATGAAGGAATGAATTCTGTGCTACTTTTATAACTCTTTTTGTAAATCTAAGATTATTTCAAAATAAAAAGGTTTTAAAATATTTATATAATACTTTGAGATCAGAAGCCTGCCTCACACTCTTTATAAATCTAGCACTTGATAGTATAATTAGTCTGAACCTTGAACATTGAGCTAAGATTATATCACTTTTTCTTTAAATAGTTGTAGAGATGTGTGATCCTAATTTATCTTTTAACTGAAAAGTCTCGCTATTTAACTTTTGCCTACTAGAAATTGTTTGGTTCTAGATGTGTGAACCTCCTTTTCCCACACGTAATTAATTTGTGTAAGAATAAACTCTTGGGCCTCCCCGGTGGCGCAGTGGTTGAGCGCTGGGTTGCGAAGCTGCCCGCGGCCTCTGCAGCGCCTGTTCGATCCCCGGCTGCTCCCAGGCCACCGGAGGAGGGTCCCACATGGCGCGCAGACCTCTCCTGCCGCCCGCTGCTCCCCTCAGCAGTGTACTTCGGTCCTTCTGCCTGTTCTGCTCCCCGCTCTGGCTCTGGTGAATTCTCTCGCCCTCCCGCGCTTCTGACTGTACCCAGTGCATGTATAAACAAAAACAAACAAATAAATTAAAAAAAAATAAAACATGCCTCTATAAAAAATAAATAAATTAAATTAAAAAAAAGAATAAACTCTTGATATTTATGAAAGCTTTTCATACCATTCACTTTGAATTATCAGTAACATTTAAGGACAAATATATAAAACCTTTTGAAACAGCTAAGTGTAAACTTGATTCAATTCATATTATAAACGGAAAGTTGATATAAATACTAGCAAAGCTAAAAAATAAAGCCCAATCAGTTACAACAAGAAAAGTTCTCTTCTTTGGATGTCTCTGATAGATTGATTTATTGTACCTGTAACCTTAGTTATTAAGGTTTGTAAGCGATCATAAGGGCTTTATTAATAGGGGTGCATTTTTACTTTTGTTTTTATTTCCATTTTTAAACCTCTGAAACTTCTTGTTGATATGCTGAGGAGTGTTATACTTCAGGATCTGCCTGTTTTATTACTGTGTTTGTGAAAACTTGAGCAGAACAACATCTTGATATTTCTAATGTAATTTTATTTTAATTTTCTCTCTGTTCTACATCTACCCTTCCCCCAGAGATGGCCAAATTACTGCAATTCTGGACCAGAAGAACTATGTAGAAGAACTCAACAGACATCTGAAGTAAAGAATGAATAAATACTTTGCGGGGAGTCTTGTTGGGGGTGTGGGTTAGGTAAACTGACAATAAGGATAAATTCAGATAATATTCAACAGATATACATAGAATTCCTGTTTGCCAGGCACTGAGATATAGGGCACTGGCTAAATACCGTTTATAATAATGTCTACAGAGAACTATGGCACTGTTAGCCAAGCAAAGATATGGTTACAGTTGAACATGAAATATAAACATGACTCTGTTACTTACTTTCTTTTTTCCTTCTTGATAGTGCTACTGTAAATAACCTTCAAGCAAAAGTGGATGCATTAGAAAAATCCAACACTAAACTGACAGAGGAAGTAAGTATCTTTGGAAATTCTTTGTTTGACATAGAATTTAATGGTGTGCATTTGTGGAACCAATAGTATCTATGGAACTTTGGAAATAAAGGACTTGATTTTTCAGATAATACCTACTACTAGGTAAACATAACTCCTTATTTTTATTTTTTTTTTTTAACTCTTGTTTCCAGTTAAGTTGGGCAGAAAGGTGTCAGAGGGTAGTGAAGAAAAAGGTAGGAGAAAGGAAAGAAGAGAAAATATGTGTAAAACTGGGAAAATGGAGAGAGGGCTATATGTAAAATACAGAAGAAATGTGATGCATGAGAGAAACTGTGTGTGAGAAAGAAAAACTACTGAGAGTGAATTACAGATAGCAAGTGTGAAAGACGTGTGTGTTTGTGTGTGTGTGTGTGTGTGTGTGTGTGAGAGAGAGAGAGAATGTATTTCCTTATTCTGACTGGGAATGGTCAACTGGTTTCTCTGAGGGATCTCAGTTATCCAGTTGAAGTCTGTAGGCATAGAATCTGGACTAATGAAGTATCTTGCTTTCTTTTGTGTGAATGTTTTGTCTGGGCTAGCTTAAAGTTAATGTTTAGCATATAACATGAAATTCATCATTTTTCATTCAACCAAAATTTTGGTACTATGTGCTAGATACTAGACCAAACTTTGTATGTGCTAGGTACTGACTTGTATGTGCCATATTAACAAACTCTCCACCCTCAGGGCCTTATTTTCTCCTTGGGAAGTAGGGTAGATAACATAAAGAGTGTTGTTCAGAAGAGCAGTAATGCTTGCTTGCATGTCATGTGCTCCTGAGCAACAGAGTCACTTGACCTCCAAGAGGCCCAGTTCCTCACTGGGAAATGAGGGTATTTGTACTTCCCCCTTCAGCTTAATAATTACTCTGAATATCATCTAAGATTATATATGTGAAAATTCTTTAAAAATTCCCCTAAAATAAGAATAGAAAAATAACCTCATGTTTTAAATTTGAATAATGTGGGGGCCTCCCTGGTGGCGCAAGGGGTTAAGATGCAACCTATGAGGCTCGCTGCAGCCACTGCACCACTAATTCGATCCCCAGCCAAAGAGCGGCCCACATGGCACAGCAGACCTCTCCTGACTCGCTGGCTGCTCCCCTCAGCAGTGTATTTCAGTCAATCTGCCTGTTTTGCTTTCCACTCTGTCTCTGGTGAATCCTCTCACCCCCCACATCTCTGGACTGTACCCCAGTTCTTGTATGCATAAATAAATAAATCTTTAAAAATAAATAAAATAATAAATTTGAATAATGTATTTTTTCCTAATTTGTCAAAGGCTAAGCTACATATTTCTATGTAGCTACATCTTCATTAGATGTTTCCATGAAAATTCTTAGATAACATTTTTTAGATGAAGACTTTGGCTTTTCTATTGCTAATTAAAACTATCCTGTTACATATAGAGCAGTAAATTTGGTTTAAATAAAACCAGGTTGGGCCTGCCTAGTGGCACAGGGGTTAAAGTCTCAGTGCTATCAAGCTATCGCCTGCCACTACAGCATGAGTTCGATCCCTGGCCAGAGAGCTAACCCATACGGTTCAGCAGACCTCTCCTGTCTTGCCTGCTGCTCCCTCAGCAGTGTATTTCAGTAGATCCACCTGTTCTGCTCCCCACTCTGTCTCTGGTGAATCCTGCCATCCCCTGCACTCCTGGTCTATACCCCAGTTCTTATATGCATAAATAAATAAAAATAAATCTGAAAAAGTAATAATAAAACCAAGTTAAAGCACTAATCAGGAAGATGCTTTTAGAGATGAGTGCACACTGCGCATCCTCTATAATCAGCAGATGAAGATCTGTTCAAGTCTGCTTTTCCATATATTTTAGATTTAAGAGGACCAGTGAAAGATAATAATAGTAATATGTCTCTTTTCCCTTCCTGCACTCCTAACTCATATGACAAAATGAGAAGAATTAGACAGGTAATCTATATAAATATCTACTTTATTATTGATAAAACTGAATTAGAAAGTGTACTTGGATCTGCAGTTACAATTTGACACTTTCTCTGATGTTGCTAACGCAGAAGAAGAACCTGTCTTAGAGGACACTTAACTCTGAAGAACAGAAGAGTTACTAGGCAAGTAACTCTTGCCCAGAGTTACTTCCTTATGTATTGATTTGATTCATGGTACAGAGATAGATGGGCTGCCAAGATTTACATTTAAAAAAGTGTGCCAGAGTCCTAGCTCCTCTACTTACCACATCAGAATAGTAGTCCAGCACAACCTCCACCCACTGCTAGTGACGAGTTAATGAAAAGGGAGCCAGTCCAGGCTTAGAGGAGCCCTTGGTTCCTTTCCCGGCCTCAGTCAGCACCTTCACATTGGCTGTAGGAATAAAGTTCAGGGGGTTCAGAGAAGGAAAATGTTTCCACTTTACTTTTCCCTTCTATGGAATGAGGATATAAATTAACTGTACTGCTAAAACTATTGCCATATATTTTTAGGTACTGAAAGGAAAAATCTCATCAGTCCTTTTTTTTTTTTTTTTTTTTTTTTTTTTGTGGGACCCTCGCCAGCGGCCTGGGAACCAACCAGCACTGAAGAGGCTACGGGCAGCCTCGCAGCTCAGCGCTCAACCGCTGCGCCACCAGGGGAGGCCCCTCATCAGTACTTAATGGATCTTTTGGAGTGAAAACTTTGGAGTGCATCTCTTTAATTTTTAATTTTTTTTTAAAGATTTATTTATTTGTGCATACAAGAACTGGGGTGTAAGCCAGAGGTGCTGGGGGTAAGAGGATTCATCAGAGCAAGTGGGGAGCAGAACAGGCAGAATGACTGAAATACACTGCTGAGAAGAGCAGTGGGCGAGACAGGAGAGGTCTGCTGCACCATGTGGGTTGCTCCTTGGCTGAACGGGGATGGAACTCATGCTGCAGTGGCTGGTGATAACTTGGTAGCTCTGTCTTTAACCTCTGTGCCACCATGGACGCCCATCTCTTTAATTTTTTAAAAATATCTATAAAGAGTCTTATGGGGGATTCTTAAGCTCATCCCAAGGCATGAGGTGACCTCTTTATTAAACATTGTAGAAATAGAGTTTTAACTAACCATAATTGCAAGTTATCCATGAAGACACTCTTGAAGTAAACAACCTTAAGTTAATATACTGGTACTGAAAAAAGGTTCCTGCAAGAAAGAAAAGCTGTCTTTTTTTTTAATCTAACATACTTTAAAAATGTTAATAAAGGAAAGATAAAAGATTATTTTTTAATTGTATCAACAGCTTGCAGTTGCAAACAACAGGATCATTACCTTGCAAGAAGAAATGGAACGAGTTAAAGAGGAAAGCTCCTATCTATTGGAATCCAATCGGAAGGTTAATCTCATACTGGATTTGCAAAGTACTCCCCAAGAGCTTGTCTCAATGCGTTAACAGTGGGAGGAGCTTTGAAGGTTCTTTGGAAGTAGCAAGTAGTTACATATATTAAATGCACTGTTTTTACTCAGACTCCGTACAAAACTGAGTAGATGATAAAGGTTATGGGAGGATGATGTCCTATAGCTTTACTACCACCTACATCTGTTTAGAGACGTCAAGAAACTAATTCAGTTTCTTGCTTTTATGTGCTTATGATCTGTACTGTATTTAATATTATTTTTAGACACTGTTTTACTGTTTTTAAAGACGTGACACCTCTTTGATACCACTGGAAAAGAGTTACTATATAAGTGAATTTTCTAGAACTTTATCTCTTACAGTAATAAATTATATATATAAATATAGACAGATATAGGCATATGTTATATAATATATAGGCACATATATGTCTATATTTGTCTAAGAGATTTTTTGAAAACCTTTTATGTATTACACAATTTCAAGCCTTCTTAAGTAGAGGAGATAATTTAATATATAATAGTAAGCTGTAGCGGCAGGAAGGCATAGATGCAGGATCCCTATGATCCCATGCAGACGGGTGAAGGAGGAGTCCTGGAGCCCTCGGTGGCTTTTTCAGGCTTTTATTGCCAATTTACCAGGTACGGCAGGCAAGGGGGCCGGGAGGCCGGCAGGCCTCCCAGCCCCCAGCAAATCTTCACTCTTTCTGGGCTCTCTGGTGTTCTCTCATGGTCTCGTTCTCTCTCTTCTGCTTGTTCTCCTTCTCATGGTTCTGCTGCTCTTGTTCTCCGTGATACAGCCCTTATAAGCCCCGACTCAGCCCAGGTGTACCCACCTACATATGCCCACACCCCACTCCAGGTGCCTGCCATCAGGCATGCATTCAGGCCCACAGGGATCCATCATCTATCCTGATGGCAGGAGGGCAGAAAAGCCTGACAATCTTCTATCCTTCATAAGCCATTTATGATGACTGAAAATTACAATGTCAACATTGGCAATCATGTATTACTAACTTATAATGGTACTAGTTTAGGGAGCTGTTGAAATTGAGAGAACTTCCCGCATCTATACTTACATAGTCCCAGATTGCTGTGGGTGATTTTATTCTGCCTTTCATGATTTAACTAGCATCTCTTACTGCTGTTAGTATTGCTTTTTTTAGAAAGATCTGCCACTCCCTTTTATCGTCATGCTTCTAACCTATGATGTTCCTTGGAACAGGGAATCCAGTAGCCACAGTTTATATTAAAACTGTTACTAATGAGTAAGCTTTGGGTGGGGACTAGAATAGTTTTCTGTGAGTAACATGTTTGACTTAAATGCAAGGACTTTGTGAAAACAGCTGTGACTGCTTAGAATTTTCTGATGACTGACTTATTTTAGCTGTGATCTCTGAATGGTTTAGAAACATCAGATGCCAGAACTCTGGAGAAGGGATATTTGAATCTTTTACTTAAATCATATATTCCAGCGAATACTGTTTTGTTTTTAGAGGCTCATTCTTATGACTTCTACTACTTGGTTTGTTGTAAAGGCAAGACAAGGGCACAGTGCAGGTTTTCTAATCCAGCAGACTGGGTAAAGGAGGAGTCAGTCCTCAGTGGCTTTTTGCAGGTCTTTTTATTGGGATTTACCCGGTACACAGCAGGTAAGGGTGCTGGGGGGCCGGGAGGCTCGCAGGCCTCCCAGCCCCCAGCAAGTCTTCATTCTGTCTGGGCTCTCCGGCCTTCTCTCAGCTTCTGCTTCTCTTGCTTCTCTCTCGGCTTCTCTTTTGGCTTCTCCTGCTTCTTTCTCAGCTTCTACTGGCATCCCTGTGACGCTACCCTTAAAAAGCACAGTCTTAGCCCAGGTGAATCTCATCTACCTATGCCCACACCCTACTCCAGGTGCCCGCCATCGGGCATGCATTCAGGACTGCAGGATTCCGTCATCTATCCTGATGGCGGGAGGGCAGAAAAGCCTGACATTTTTCTTACCCTACATTTGTTAACCTGTCTTGGGGCTTTATACAAAATGATAAGAAATTCCTAATCCAGCTTTACAATTGTTTTTTATTTACTAGACTTAATTGATTTCTTTTGTTACCTTTGTTCTTTGTTAATTGTTAGACCTACTTAGGTATGATTTTTTTCCTTGCTAAATAGCAGTGCTAGTGTTAGCTAACTCTGTATAGATTCTTTAAATCCTTTCATGTGCTGTTTTATCTGCCTTTTCAAGGGTCCTAAGCAAGACAGAACTTCAGAAGGGCAAGCACTAAGTGAAGCAAGAAAGCATTTAAAGGAGGAGACACAATTACGACTGGTAAATGTTGCTTAAGTTCTAATAGTTCTGGAACACACTGAAAGGTAGTGGCCTACTTGTAGCTTTTATTTTACAGTCCAAGAGCTTTTTACCTTACAGGAATAGTAGTGTTCTAACAAAGTTTTATCGATTCTATAAAACCGTTTCTCTATAATGCTATCTCAGCCCGTTTTCTGAGTATCTTCAGCTACCAATATGTTTTCACCATTTTTTTTGTTTTGCTTTTATAGTTTATATTGAAAGAAAATAAACTGTATGGAACTTACTTTTTATTTATTTATTTTATTTATGCAAGTGCTGAGGTACAGGCCAGATGCATGGGAGGGTGAGAGGATTCACCAGAGATAGAGTGGGAAACAGAACAGGCAGACTGACAAAGTACATAAAGTACATTGCTGAGGGGAACAGCAGGTGAGACAGGAGAGGTCTGCCACGCCATGTGGGATTCTCACCAGCCGGCTAGGATTGAACCCGTGCTGCAGAGGCTGTGGACAGCTTCACAGTGCGGGAGGTCGGGGGCGGGGGGGGCACCAGGGAGGCCCAGGAACTTTTTTTTTTTTTTTAAGATTGATTTATTTATTTATTTATTTATTTATACAAGCACTGGGTACAGTCAGAAGCGTGGGAGGGTGAGAGAATTCACCAGAGCCAGAGCGGGGAACAGGACAGACTGACACAGCACAGTGCTAAGGGGAGCAGCGGGGGGCACAGCAGAAGAGGTCTGCATGCCATGTGGGACCCTCGCCTGTGGCCGGGATAGAACCAGTGCTACAGAGGCTGCGGGCAGCTTCGCAGCCCAGCGCTCAACGTCTGCGCCACAGAGATGGCCCCCAGGAACTTACTTTTTAAAACTGCAGTCCCCACGCCTATCTTAGTCCCCATTCCTGTGAAGATCATAATATGTCCCCCTTTAAGCTGGCAGCCCCTCTTCTTACTGAGAATTATTAATGTAGACTTGTACTCTTACTTCTAGCTGTTTTTCTAAATTCATTATTGTTATAATACCTAAATAAAGTATCACCCAATATTAGTGTTATTTTCAGAAATTTGGCCTCTCTGGTGGCACAAGGGGTTAAGTCTCACACTATAAAGCTATCCACAGCCACTGTAGCATGAATTCGATCCCCAGCCAGGGAGTAACCCACATGGTGCAGCAGACCTCCCCTGACTGGTCCACTGCTCCCCTCAGCAGTATGTTTCAGTCAATCAGCCTCTTCTACTCCTTACTCTCTCTGGTCTCACTCCTGACACCTCTGGCATACACCCCAGCTCTTGTATGCATAAATAAAATAAATCTTTTAAAAAAGATATTTTTAGAAATTATGAAGTATATATGAATGTATAAGGTAGTAAGTTTTATCCAAATATTAGTGTATTAATTTACCTCTCTTCCTGCACTTCAGATAGTACCATAAATAAGAATAGGGAGAAGCCTGAAAACAATTGAGTACTCATTGGTACTAAAAATTATCATACATTAACAGTATATAGAATAGAAATTCAAGTTTTCTGAGAAAACAATGTTATTTTAACATATGTGAAGAATTGTCATTTTGCCTATGTATTTGGAATTAGATCACAAAATATTTTCCATAAGAATGGTTCTAGAAATATGTCGGCATTTTAAGAAGCAATTTGATTCATTTTCTGTCATGCTAATCATGTACAAAGGAAACCTCGGTTAAGCAATACATAGTAAATATCCTACAGTAAATTTTCCATATCCTTTTATTATAATGTTTATTTGAAAGGAAAGAAACTGGGCCTCCCCGGTGGTGCAGCGGTTGAGCGCTGGGCTATGAAGCTGCCCGCAGCCTCTGCAGCGCCAGTTCAATCCCCGGCCGCCGGTGAGGGTCCCACATGGCGTGCAGACCTCTCCTGTTGTGCCCCACTACTCCCCTTAGCAGTGTCCTCCATCTCTCTGCCTGTTCTGCTCCCCTCTCTGCCTCTGGTGAATTCTTTCACCCTCCCGCATTTCTGACTATACCCAGTGCTTGTATAAATAAATAAATAAATATTTAAGAAAAGAAAGGAAGGAAACCAAGAAAGTAGGCAAGACGTAGGTGTGTCCTGACTGCAGAGGAACTCAGGTCTCTGTATCATTGGTCATCCAAACAATATTGCAATAATAACAGTTGAAATGAAGTTTGATGGCAAGTGAATATAGAAATTAAGCTAGCCATATTGACCATTCCCAGTAACTGAGATGCTAGCCTGGATACCCAAAATATCTTTTCAGCTCCTTGAGCTCTTGAATATGTCAGTACTATCCAGATTGAAGAAAATGGGAATCGTTTCATTTTATGCTGGCTACTACAACATATTATATTTCTATAATAGGCGATGATATCAGTTGTCTGCCTTACTGTCTAATGAAGTATCTCAAGTATATACGTACTTTAGATATTAATTAGCACTATTTTTGGCATACCAAGTTTTTCAGATTTGTAAATCATTGAGTAAATGTCACTGTAATTATCCTAGTTTTTCTTACTGTTACTACCTGCAATGAATGCTAGTTTATAGCTATTTTTTTAAAGATTTTTTTTTTAAGATTTATTTATGTATTTATACAAGCACTGGGTACAGTCAGAAGTGTGTGAGGGTGAGAGAATTCACCAGTGCCAGAGCAGGGAGCAGAACAGGCAGAAGGACCTAAGTACACTGCTGAGGGGAGCAGCAGGCGCTGCAGGAGAGGTCTGCACACCATGTGGGACCCTCACCGGTCGGGGATCGAACCAGGGCTGCAGAGGCTGCGGGCAGCTTCGCAGCCCAGCGCTCAACCGCTGCGCCACCAGGGGAGGCCCTAAAGATTTATTTATGCATACAAGAACCGGAGTACAAGCCAGAGGTGTAGGGGGTGAGAGGATTCACCAGAGACAGAATGGGGAACAGAACAGGCAAAACTGACTGAAATACACTGCTGAGGGGAGCAGCGGGCGAGACAGGAGAGGTCTGCCATGCCATGTGGGTATCTCCCCAGCTGGTGGGGATCAAACTTGCACTGCAGGGGGCTGCAGATAGCTTCACAGTGCTGTGCTTAACACCTTGCACCACCAGGGAGGCCCTAATTTATAGATATTTTGGCGGGATATTCAGACCCAAGAGTTTGGTCTACCTTTTTCTGTGGAGTTTTATACCTGGTCGTTAGTTGAGGAAAGCAAGAATAACCACTATCTTTATCTTTGGGGGCAGGATGTTGAGAAAGAACTGGAGATCCAGATCAGCATGAGACAGGAGATGGAACTGGCCATGAAGATGCTGGAGAAGGACGTCTGCGAGAAGCAGGATGCCCTGGTGTCTCTGCGGCAGCAGCTGGACGATCTCAGGGCTCTCAAGCATGAGCTTGCCTTCAAGCTACAGGTAGGGGAAAGAGGAACAGGCTCACTGGTCTCTGGGCCTCTTTTTTTCTCGAATTATACCTCATATACAAGAGGAAGAGTCACGTCTCATCGTGCGATCAGCTACCAGTAGCCACTGTAGGAATCACACCATTGTGGAATCCTCTGTAGCTGTTTTGGAAAACCATGGCCACTTTTCAAACTGTAATGTAAGGCCTTTCTTACCCTCTAAGATAATTGATACTTTCTAGCCTAACTTGCCAACTGAGTCATATAGCCCATTAAATTTTATACTGCAATACGAAAGGTTGATGAGCCTTCTGATGTTAGCTTTGGTCATAAAGCATCACCTACCAGTACTAATTATAAACATATTTTTGGGTTTTCTCCATATACAAATATATAGGCATTGCTATTTCTCTTTCGGTTCAAAAGGCATTTGTGATTTATGTCAGGATTTTATGTTAGATATACGTCACTCATAATTCTTTTCCATAACAGAGTTCAGATTTGGGAGTAAAACAGAAAAGTGAACTAAACAGTCGCTTGGAAGAGAAGACTAATCAGATGGCTGCTACCATTAAACAGCTCGAGCAAAGGTAAAAGTGCTGTTTCTTTCATGAAAACACATTGAGCTTTCAGTGCTGCAGATGAAGAGAATGTATTATGCATCTGATAAATAGAAAGTATCTGAAATTGTTTCGGCTTAACATCAGGCATGGTAGTAGAAAGAAAGCCAATGAAATTTTGTGTTTTCTAAGAAGTCATCAAAAATGCATTTAAGAAATGTCACTTATGTCTGTGTTGGACTCTAACCCTCTTTCTTAACCCAATTTCAATACTTTGATGGATGAAAGAACTTTTAAATATGTTTCTAATTCTGTTGTTTTACTGTTCATCACTAAAACCTTTAAATACATTGGTGCTAGATGATGAGGGTTCAAAGCCCTTCTTTAACTTTAATCTTTTCTCTCCTCTCTCTATCTCCCCTTTCTCTGCTTTCCCTGAACAGCCCACTTGTTTCCTCTGACACCTCATACCACAACTCTTTGTGTTTCCAGCTCTGACTTCTTGGAGACCAGTCTTGCATTTTCATTTTCTGTCCAGCTATTTCCCACCAGTACCTACAGTTCATTCTACTCAAAACACATCCTCTCCCTGTCCTACTCTCATTTCTCTTTTTGTCTAAAACCCCCACTTTTTCTGGTGACGAAGCTGCCAAAAAAAAGGGCCAGGAAAACAAGATTAAATAAATCAGGACACCCACAGTCATTCGATGTTGCAAATCTATTTTTCCAACTTTAATACCTCCTGATCACCCTCCTTGACTTGAACAAAATTAATCTACTGGCCCTGGACATAATTCCCATTCTCCCCATTCATTCCTTTCCTAATAATTCCACCAATTAAACATGCCCTTTCTCTTATCCCTTGTTTTTCAGACACATTCAGGCTCAACTGCCACTCCCTAAAGCCTATTCCTTTTTTTTTTTTTTTTTTTTTTTTTTTATTTATTTATACAAGCACTAGGCTACAGTCAGAAGTGGGGAGGGTGAGAGAATTCACCAGAGCCAGAAACAGAACAGACAGACTGTCGAAATACACTGCTGAGGGGAGCAGCGGGTGGCAGGAGAGGTCTGCGCACCATGTGGGACCCTCGCTGGTGGCCGGGGATCGAACCGGCGCTGCAGAGGCTGTGGGTAGCTTCGCAGTTCAGCGCCCAACCACTGTGCCACCAGGGGAGGCCCACCTAAAGCCTATTCTGATACTCCTTATAAGCTAAAAATAATCTGTCAATCTGTCCACATTGGAATTCCCATGTCTTTATATCCATATCATTTACAGCACTAGTCAGTTTATATGTCATCTTATAGCCTTATATATATATCTTATCTTCAGATGAAAATGTGACCTCCTTGAGATTATTAGTTAATTGATCTTTTTAAGTTCTGTCATGGGACCTGTGGCAGTGTCTTGAACATACAAGGCATTCATTTAGTAAATACATGGATGAATGGATGTATCTTTTATTCAGATGATTCTTAACCAGGAGGGTTCTGAACAGTACAGCCTGTTAACATTAACTCAAAAGTTAATTGCAAATCAGTAAATAACCTTGAAGATTCCAGTTTAACTGATTTTAAGTAAAAATGTATTGGTCTCTCTGGTAAGTTATCTAAGTGCTTGCTCATAAGCCTTTATATGATTATTATTAGCAGATCACTTTTAGTGTTCATAAGTTAAGTTTGAAAAGTATCAAATTGTTTTTTAGTAGTTTCTGACTTGGCATTTAAAGCAGACAGAACTAAATAACGACTTGTCTCTTCAAGTAGTAAACTGACTTATTCTTTTGCTATCTTTGTCTTTCCTGTTTATCCATTTTCTCAATCCCCCATCTACTTCATTTTTGTTTTTATTTTATTAATTTAGTGAAAAGGATTTGGTGAAACAGGCAAAGACCTTGAATAGTGCAGCTAATAAACTGATCCCAAAACACCATTAGGAGTTTTTGCAATTGGTCACCTCTCAAGTCTGATATCACAACTTAGCTGTAAAAGGAAGCAAATCCAAAAGTTATTACATTTAAACTCTAATTCTATATGAAACGTCACCAAAAATTGACTTGACTTTGAATTTGTTGGACTTTTAAAAAAAACAGTTTGATACATAGACTGTGTTTTTTTCCTCCTTTATTGTTTCCCCAGAGCTAGAAATTTAGTATAAGCTCTTAATTAAATGCCTAATAAACTTTGAATAATTACTTCCGAGTTGAACAATAAGTAACAGACCACTAAAAAGAAAAGTCTAGGGAATTGATGCTCTGTACATATATTATTAATGCCTTTACTACCCAGTCCCTAACAGCAGATTCTAGGTGCATTGTCTATATCAGCAAGCCTGTTCTGCCTTTACAATGTAATGAGCTAGAGGTGACTACCGTTCGAACTTGGACTCTTCTAAAGTAGTTCTGTGTCTCCTAGGCCATGACCTCTTTTCACTTTGGTTATATAAGTTTAATTCCCAAGCCAAGGATAAGTACTTAGTATTTCAGTACAGTTCTATTCTCAGTAACTAAGATTGCTTGCAACATTTTACCTTAGTGACTTCAGAGAAAAAAAAAAAAAAAAAAAACGCATCCTTATATTTATTTCTTTAAAGTACATAGAGATACAGTTAGTGATTAGGTAACCTATGATAATATAATAATGTGGAAGCTTGGGAACGCCCTCCTAATATTTGTCATCTCTACCTCTGCCATTTTCCTGCAAATCTACTTCCTATTTAAGTAGATCAGAGAAAAGAATTTCTCTCTGAATAAAAACACTTTTCTTCTATTGAAAAAAGATACACTATACATTTTTCAAATATATCCTGCTTTTCCTTTTGGAGTAAAGGTGAAAAGGTATAGACATGAGTAGTGGTTTCCTGACTCATCCCTCGAGTGGAAAGCTTTACTTAAGAGTGATTGTTTTTGTTCATTCAAATGTGGGGACTTGCTCAATTTTCTGGGAAACTAACAGTCTATTAGAAGACCATTTCAGAGTAGGACATAGCTAAATAGATAAAACTTATGTTCACTTATGTTCTTCACCATTATTTAGTCTATAAAGATTCTCAGTAGATATCCACAAACAGTAATTAGCAGGGCTTCTTTTTCTAAGTGACCACAGTTCTAACACTTTCTAGGCTTTACATTGTAAATTATCCTATAAATATTGAGATTTTTTTCCTTTTGATTTGTGGGGAACAGACTTTATATAAGCCTTCATTCCTTCAAAAAGTCTTGACAAAATATTTCGGGGTTTGTTTTTTTTGTTTGTTTGTTTTTTTCCATTCTAATATGTTTTGCAGCATTTAAGCTGCTTAGATGGGGCCAGAAATAATCCCTTTGTTTCCAGCTCTTGAAATTCTTTACCTTCTTCTTCAGGGGGAAAAAAAAACAGGCAGAATTAAGGGAGTAAGATAGATTTCATGTGTGCTGTTACCAGTCCTTGCAGACTTGAACCAAACTCAAGTCAAAGAGCATTTAACAACCTCATGGAAAATCCTGTGCTCTTGAACTTATTTAGTTCTTATAATTTTGCACCTATATTAATAAATCCCTTAATGTCTTATCTTCATCATCCTTTGTGGTGATGAGTTGCTTTTTCTATGCGCATATAGAAGGAAGATTCAGACACCAAAACAAAACATTTCAAAGACTACACATAGCATGCTTCCAAATTCTATTATAAACAGCCCCAACTGTTTTCACCTTTTAGAACATGCTTCTTTATAGGTGCAAAGTTATAGGATATATAGAAGAAAACATTCTTTAGAATCTTCCAGAAAATATGGTCAGGAATTTATGCAGGCCACTGCTGAGTTGTTTGTCCGGCTAGGCACACCCCACTTGATAGGAATAGAAGGAAACAGATGGCCAAACTCTGACAAAGGCTTTTCCTTATATAATAATCCAAAGCCTGGGTAAGAGTTGATGTAAAATATCTAATGGTTTAATGTAATTTGTGGTTTATGGAAAGGACCAGAAAAAAGTTCTAATTCCGCATAAGAAGGTAGTTGCCCATTTGCAAGTTCTAGTTATGTGTGTAAACAAAATTTTAAAGTACCAAACTTACTAGGAAATAAAAACAAAAAAGTGATTTTAACTTTAATTACTGTGTACTTGAGGTTGGATTTGGATATGGATTTTCTAAAAGTGATGTTTTATTGTTTATCATCTAATGGCTGTAAACTGTAGTACTAGAATAAAAAAAAAATGGAAAATCAACTTTTCCTCTGCCTGGTTCACCTTCATCTTGCTTTTCTTTAGAATTTGTTTTTTTTCCATCTTTCCCCCTCCATAATTGCTTCCCCTGTGTCCTTTAAAGTTTTTTTTTTTCTCCTCTCTGCCTCTCCATGTCTTCTTCCTTGGGTTGTCTTATTTTGTGTTGTGAACTTGGTCTTCCTCCCCACCATAGCTTTTGTTTTTTATCACAAGTTCATGTGGCTCACATCCAGATTGCACCAGGCTGAGCGAGGCCGCCAGTCGGCTGAGTTGGACAACCGTCTCTTCAAGCAGGACTTTGGAGATAAGATCAACAGTCTGCAGTTGGAAGTGGAGGAGCTCACCAGGCAGCGGTGAAGAGGGGCGGCTTGAGGCGACAGGGTGGTCATGGGTAATTCAAAACCTGGGCAATGAGAGAAGGCAGCCTCACTACTTCCAACCATCTCCATTCTGTCTTTGCAATGTCCTTTCTCTGGAATTAAAATTTAGGAGGTTTTATATACTTCAGCATTCCCCCAATCTTACCGATACCCTTTATAAACATTGAATTAGGAAAATAGAACCCAACGTCCCAGATCAATAAAATATAAGAGAATTCATGCGTAGCTTCACACTAAAAATAGAATTTCCTAAATTCTTACAGTGTTCCAGATTCTTTTTAAGATTATTTATTTTTGTATAGAAGAATTGGGGTGTAGGTCAGAGGTGTGGAGAGTGAGAGGATTTACCAGAGACAGTAGGGAGCAGTGGACGAGACAGGAGAGGTCTGCTGCGCCATGTGGGTTAGCTCCCTGTCCGGACATAGAATTCAGGCCACCTCAGTGGGCCATTGCGGTGGTAGCATTGAGACATAACCCCCAGGGCACCAGGGAGGCCCGTGCCAGATATTTTACTAAGCACTTCACATATATTCTCTCCTAACATCTTCCTATCGGCCCTATTAGTTGATATCTTATTATCAGTACTTGAGATGAAATTAAAGTTAGAGGAGATAAATTTGTCCAAAATCACACAATTAAGCTGATAAAAAGCCATACTAATTTGAAAGCACATCTCTGACTCCAAGACCTTAATCCTTCTTCCATATTATTTCTCAAATGAGATTCAATTATATGCTGAAGTCACCGGCTTAAACAAACAGAACTTTGTTGTTGGATATAAAAACATAGTTACTAAGGACACTAGAGATCGAGGACTGAATATATACCTATAAAGAGAGACCATCTAATTGATATGAAGTGAGACTATAGTGCTGGTACTTTCATACTGAATCTTGCCCAAAATTTACAATTATTTTATTTCAGTTACAGTAAATTCTATTAATTGTCATTCAGGTGACCGCAATCCTTCATTAATAGTTAATATAAAATATTGATATTCAGAGTAATGATTCTCAGGCACTGGGAGATCCTAAAGTGCACCCTTAGTCATGCAAGAAAGATTAAATATGTATGTATTTTAGTGTTACTGGTTCTGTTGTATTTAGTGCTTGAAAACCTGGTTGCCCATATGTACCTGATAACTTTCTGTTGATCAAGAATTAAAACTTAATTACTGAACTTTTTAAGAGTTGGCATTCTTCAGCAGAATATATCAAAATCCCAACTTTTCATCATTTTCTCTCACCTGTCCCAGGAACCAGCTTGAGGTAGAACTAAAACAGGAAAGAGGGAAAAGGTTACAAAACAACAGGAACATCCCTGGAAAGGGTTCCCAGAAGCCAGAACCCAAAACGGTAATATTTATTCCCTTGTTCTTTTATTTCATTTTCAGAGAGTTTTCTGGAACACATACTTAATTGCAATGGCCTTGAATATGTAGACAGTAGAGATGGAGTTAAACATTTGAACATTTGCTTCTGAGTCTCCCTTTAATATATGCTAACTTGACTTCTTTTGGAAAGGGGCATTTTTAACAACCTGATTTCCAGTAATCCTCTTATCCCTTTCAGTTTGTTAAGTAAGAATCATTAATTTGGCACCTTAACAAAATATCTTTCTTGGACTTCTACTGGTTGATTTTTTTAAATAATATGGCATAGTAATCCCTCCCTAATTTGAATTCTCCTTTATTTTTTTTTTAAAGATTTATTTATTTTTGCATACAAGAGCTAGGGTATAGGCCAGAGGTGTGGGGGCTGAGAGAATTCACCAAAGACAGATTGGGGAACAGAACAGGCTGATTGAAGTGCACTGCTGAGGGGAGCAGCAGGTGAGTCAAGAGAGGTCTGCTGTGCCATGTGGGCTGCTCCCTGGCCAGCCCGGGGGGATTAAACTAATGCTGGGGGATTGAACTCATGCTGCGGTGGCTGCGGACAGCTTCGTAGGTTGTGTCTTATCCCTTCTGCGCCACCAGGGAGGCCCTGAATTCCCCTTTAATAGAATTGACTTAAATGCGGATTTACTTCTGTATACCTTTTTCAAAATCATGAGAAATTTCAATGTTATCATTCTCCATGCACTTCTCTTGGGGAAATAAGAATAAGAGAGAACTAGGGAAGAGAACATAATATAGAGTGTTTTAAAGAGCAAGAGTAGAAGTTTCTGTGGAACAGTGTTAGGAAAGAAACCTCTCTGCCACCTACAGTGGAAGTGGAGCTAACATTGGAGACGGCAGCCTCTGGAACCCAAAAATCAGGAGCCAACTTCTTTAAATAATAATACAGAAAAACATGAAATGCTTTTTCTGTCAAAAAGAAACTTGCAGGGCCTCCCCGGTGGCGCAGCAGTTAAGCGCTGGGTTGCGAAGCTGCCCGCAGCCTCTGCAGCGCCGGTTCAATCCCCGGCTGCTCCCCGGCCACCGGAGGAGGGTCCCACATGGCGCGCAGACCTCTCCTGCCGCCCGCTGCTCCCCTCAGCAGTGTACTTCGGTCCTTCTGCCTGCTCTGCTCCCCGCTCTGGCTCTGGTGAATTCTCTCACCCTCCCACACTTCTGACTGTACCCAGTGCATGTATAAACAAAACAAACAAACAAATAAATAAATAAATAACATGCCTCTATAAAAAAAAAAAACTTGCAATCAAGACTATGTGGTATATATTCACAATGGAATATTACTCAGCAATTAAAAAGGATAAACTCATGCCATTCGCAGCAACATGGATGGAGCTGGAAGGGATTATGCTCAGCAAAATAAGAAAGAAAATGACAAATATCAGATGGTTTCACTTATAGGAGGAATGTAGAGGAACCAAATAAGGGATCAGAAAACAAAATTAACTATAATAAAGTGAAAATCAAAATCAACAGGCAGCCAGAGATATTCTGTAGGAGAGGAGGAGAGAGAAGGATCAGGACAGGGGTGGGAAGAGCACCAGGGACTATGATGGTGGTGCATGGGTAAATTGATGGGAATTTCATGGGGAAATCATACATTGTACAAATATGAAGGATTATGCAATAAATTTATATGTATATAAAAACAAACTTGGGGGGTGGTTACCTCCTTGGTATACATTATATATAACAAAGCAGGACAAATTTTTAAGTTTTTTACTTAAAAAATCTAAGGAATGAACTGCCAATTTGATAGAAAATAAAAAAGAGTGGTAAATGGACATTTATTACATAGTACCCTTTACTACTAATTTAAAGCATGCAAAATACCACTCTGTGTGGCATGCTGTCTTTATTAGGTTTAGCAAACATAAAATCTGTTTATAAGGGCTTACAGAGATTCACTTACAATCTTGGTCTATCTTACCCCATTTTTTTTTGGGCCTCCCCGGTGGCGCAGCGGTTGTGCGCTGGGTTGCGAAGCTGCCCGCGGCCTCTGCGGCGCCGGTTCGATCCCCGGCTGCTCCCCGGCCACCGGAGGAGGGTCCCACATGGCGCGCAGACCTCTCCTGCCGCCCGCTGCTCCCCTCAGCAGTGTACTTCGGTCCTTCTGCCTGCTCTGCTCCCCGCTCTGGCTCTGGTGAATTCTCTCACCCTCCCGCGCTTCTGACTGTACCCAGTGCATGTATAAACAAAACAAACAAACAAATAAATAAATCATAAATAAAAATACATGCCTCTTTAAAATAAAAATATCTTACCCCATTTTTCCAGTGAGGTCTTAAGTTTCTCAGTCTTGAATTACCTTGTAATGGGATTTCCAAGGGGGCAATTATTGTTCTGATGAGCCTTTCTTGATTCTTGAGTAATTTAAAAACATAATGTACTTTTGGAAGCTAATGGGCAATAATTAATGGTAGGCAACTGCTTGCGAGCCTAAGAGCACTGGTGGCATGCAGTGTAAGCCTTTATATTGATCTTTCAGAATAAAGAAAACTCCAGTTACCTAGGCTGTAGAAGTTGTGACTGAGTATCCAGAGGGTTACAATCTGCTCTTTATGGCCATTCTTGGTTTTACCATTTCCAGAGCTCCGTTAGAAAATTATTTTTTTAATTTAATATATTTTAAGATATGTTGTTAAAATATATTTACTAAGAAGTAACCGATAATTTGAGCCCATTTTTTGAGTAAATAGGATACATTCTGAATTTCATTTGGATCCCCAGAATTTAAAAAAATGTCTGCTCTGAAAATCACCTATTGCAAACTCTATCAGAATAATTTATTAAGAAACTTCTTAGAACAAAGAGTGAGGAAGAACTTGGAAGTTTAAATTCCTTCCCTAATTAAAAAAAGCTATTTATGTTTATACTCACACTGAGACAATACAGAAGAAAATGTCTGCAATTTCATCATTGTTTAGCATTTGAATAATTAATAAACTGGGTATTTTCTTTTGGCAGGATGGAAAGCACAAAATTCAAGAGGAAAATGTTAAACTAAAAAAGCCCTTGGAAGAAAGCCACAGGTATCTGTTGATAAAGTATTAACTAAGATACTAAATTATTTTGGGAAAGAGGGAGCTTTTGATATACATTGGCCGTGACACACACTAACACTGATTTGTAACATCAGTATTCCAGAAGGACATTTTGAAAGAGAACTGAAAAATAATAAATCAGAAACACACAGTAAACCAAACCCATTTAGTGCATTCCAGAAGAAAGACAGGTGATCAGGCTATCCTCTGACTCTACATGGGTAATCCTTACACTCAACATCATCACTTCAGAGATTACTTTTAATCTTTACTGGATTGGTATCATAGGATAATGATGCAAAAGTCATACCACCTCACAGGTTCTTAAATGTACTTGAGTAAGACTTGTTTCTTTCTATATGCTAAATAA